GGCATTCCGGATGTAAGGCTTTCAGACGCTCTCAGGGAAGCACAGAACTGGGCAAAGCTTTCAGGTGTCAAGAGCGACCTAAAGGGCTAAGAGTCGCCTCCCGCTTTACGTCGTTGCGTTTCTTTGTTTTTAGATCTTTATCCACAAAACCCGCAAACCCTCAGTCTACTTCCACAAACCTCTTGTTCGGTGCTTGGGAGGCAGGCAGCAATGGCCTCCAACCTAAAAGCGATGGCCTCCAAACTGAAAGTGATGGCCTCTAACCTAGACGCGATACTAGTTCCCTAGTGGACTCCTTGTGTGCAAAACTCCAGAGGAGGACTGTTGCTGCTTCATGACATCTTGCCCCTACAAGGTGTGCTGCAGCAAGAACGACAACAGCCTTGAGAGATATCACTCTGGACGTCACGAAATGAACCGAAACCAACATGCCACACGAGGCTTTGGCTCCAGGACTTTGGCTGCTCGTGTCAAGCGGTCACCGCTCTCACCCACGCTGATGTTCAACACGAGCTTTTCAACTCGGATCTGGCGCATGGGGTTCCTGCAGCGAGGAACCGAATTCTCAAGACAAATTGACTGCGACTTGAGGGGCGAAAAGATCGAAAGGAAGGTAGGGGGAGGCGTGCGTAGTGGGAGACAGCAGGCTCAGTCTTGCTACATCTTTGGGAGCCCGGTCTTGTTTGACAAGTAAGCGTTGGTGTTGTTAAGTTTTCTTGGATGACGACTGCTTTATATCCAGAACCGTTCTTTTTTTTCTGGCACTGGAGGTAGGCATCATGCGGGATGAAGCTCGCCAACAAAAAGCTGATTAGGGGAATTTGACCCTGGGAAGCCGAAAAAGGAGTAAAGAATCATGCTCACAGTATTCACCTCGAAGTGCGTCCTATTCCAAGACTTTCTTGCTAAAGCACAGTGAACTCGGGTAGCTGAAGCTGTCTTTCGTGACCTGCCTTTCCTACCATCTCACTTCTTAATCGCCACATCGCTCCTCCTGAAAAGCTGCAGCTAGTTGACCACTAGTTTACTTCGCATACTGTATCGGTTATAATGGGTCATATCATGTCATATCATACTTTCACAGGCTCTCTAGCGGTGCCTATCAAACTATGGGAGTCTGAAAATCGACGATTGTCTTTTTCACCTTCATGACTGGCAGACCAGTGATCTGGTGGACCCAAGCACCCACGGGTTTTTGAGGGAAGTCATCGAAAGGTCAAAATGAACTGCAAAGGGCTGCCCAGGCACTCGGATTTGTCAGCCATGGCCACTCGCGTCCAAGAGGCTATGGGTTTCTTCCTCTGCGTCTCCCTTTGAGCCAAATGTCAAGGCCAACAAACCGTCATGGCATCAACCAATTGCTGCAGACAGCAACTTGCAGCACTGAATCAGGACAACCGGCATCGAGTGGTCGTTTTGCTATACTATTTAAGTGTTGAGAACTACACTGCCACCCTGCTAAACCATGTGCGCCGTCTTTGGCAAAATGGCTCTTTCGAAGGATAAAGGCTGATAAAGGTTTCGGTCAGTCTCAACCATTCCTTCTGCAAAGCCTTCGATTTGCAGTGCCTTTGCGAGGCCTGTGCCGTTGCAGCCAGGCTGCACATCCAGAAAGCGGCCTTCTTTCACAGTGTAGAGTGATGACACCGCCTCCACATACTCCACCTGGTCGGCTTAGCTTTTTCGTTCGTTGCATCATGTTTAATCCAGTTCAGCCTCAGCTTTCTCCGGCATGGAACATTATGGAATCATGTTACACTGAACCGCTCAAGGGGCGCCTGGCGTGGCAGCCAACCAGAACGCTTCAGCAGCTCAACCGCCTCCAGACTTGAGAGGAATTTGAGAAACCGACCCGCCCTCTTGTGATTTGGCTCCCCTCCTCCCGGCCCATCCCTACTTAATAAGAGAGTAAGCTAGTAGCTACTTACATAATCTACTACATATGGACGCGGGATAGCTCACGCTTCTAATCATTTGGTTCCTAGAATGTTAGGGAAACTAGTGGCGATGGCCTCCAACCTACTAGCGATGGCCTCGACCCTAGCGATGGAAACATGAATCGCCATGCTCCGTTCGTAGCGATGCCCTTTGCTCCGTTCGTAGCGTCCTTGTTACTACTAGTAAGGCCAGGAGCCCCTAGTAGCGTCCTCGCTCCTAGTAGTAAGGCACTTGTTTCTACTACTAGCAAACATTGTTACTACTAGTAAGGCACTTGTTACTAGTAGCGATGCACTTGTTCCGGCCTCGGCCGGCACATCGCTCGTATGCAGCAAAACCAGGTCATTCTGAGTCTGCGTCCTGCCAAACGCACCCGCGTCGCGCGTTTGTTTCACGCACCTTCCGCTTTTTCCCAGTCCTCCGTAAGGAGTAAGAGAGAACCATTGCCCCAAGAACATGCTCAGGATTTGTTCCCCAGAGGCAGACCACATAGGCGAACCTGTCAAATCAGGCCAATATCCCATTCCAGTCACCAGTCAGTACAACAAAGCTCGTGAAACCCTGGCCTGCTGCGTGCTGGATCCTCGCAACCAAGGCATTTGCTGCTGCATACTGAAGAAAGTGCCCACCCTCTCTCTCTCTCTCACTCAGCACTCCTGTTTTGGCTTCTTTGCAACAGGCTGTGGGGGGGATGTCAAAGTCAATGTCAACGGACGTTTGCAGCAGGAGCAGAAGCCAGCCCAGGTAGCCTCCAAGAAGCGCACATGCAAATCAAATCGCATGATGTCTACGTTGTCTACGCTAAGTAAGGTGCTAAAGACAACGTAGTTTAAACCAAATATGAAATAGAACTAATATGAAAAAATTAAGGAACCTACTAGCCATGGCCTTCAACCTAATGGCCATGGCCTTCAACCTACTAGCGATGGCCTCCAACCTACTAGCGATGGCCTTCAACCTGCCGATGGCACTACCCTCAAGAGCTTCTCAAAATGCTGCTCGGAACTTTGAATTCAGAGCGACTCTTTCAACTTATGGCAAAGTGGACAAGAATGCATGGCGGAGACTGACAAAAGATTTGTTGGGCATCGCAGGGTTTCACTATGTTTCACTGACACGTTTGGCCTCGTCTTCGATCTCGTCAAGCTGGTCTGCCCGCTGACGTTCCCAGGACGGGCCTGCAAGGTGCGAGGCCGCACTAAGCCGTCAAGACTGCTTTTCTATGTAGGTAAAACTCTGTTTCGATGACCACTCCTGGCTCTGCCCATTGCACTGAGGTGTGGCATGGAGATGTGATCCGCAGGCATGGACGCTTTCTACCAACCAGCTGCCCTTGGTGCACACGAAGCACTGCTTGACATCACTTCGTTTTGTGGAAAAGACCTACGAGAAGGGCGAAAAGGGGCAAGGGGGCACGAAACAAGTTCCCTTCGGGGAAAGCATACATCACACTATCATCTAAATATCTAAATCAAACACCTTTAGGCTGTCGCTACTAGGTTGGAGGCCATCGGCCCCGCTAGTAGGTCTTTTGCTTGTTTTTCTTAGACTTGCCGCAAGGCTGTCGAACGGAGTGGGGCTGAGCGGAGCAAGAAGAACGCGAAGGCCTATGCCGATCCAGGGACGGTAGATTTGCCAGGCTCCACGCCACAAAGCAATCAGCCCACAGGCATCAAGGTTATCAGCTTTCATGGCGCAAGCCGCCAAGATTCTTTGGAAAACCGTGCTGAGAAAGCCTTCAAGAAAAGTTGTTTGGAGAATTAAGACCAAGAAGGACAAAATTGTGAAGAATCAATTACTCAAGGAGAGCTCAGAAACATGCAATAGTGCCGAGAAGTACCTTTGTTGCTGATGGCAATGGGTACCCGGTAGGTATATGGCAGCAAGGAAAATATACCTAAACTGGTCTATATAATAGAAAGAATGGAAAGAAAGCGGAGAAGAGGCTCCCCTTCGCCAAATCTCCTACAAGTGCGATCTCTCCTGATGCCGTGCGATGATGTTCTTGACACTCGTTCAACTTAAGTTTAGATACATGCTCTTTTGGCCTGTGCTTTTTGGTCATGCAGGAAGAAGCGTGTGCAGAATCTATGGCCAAAAGCTGCAGATCAACCTGATTTCAGGCCTCAACTTCGAGCAAGTCTCGTCCAACTACAAGTCTTATGACAAGACTTGTTCCTAGTAGTAAGGCCAGGAGCCCCTAGTAGCGTCCTTGTTCCTACTTGTCCTAACGACAGTGGCCCCGGCCACTGGCCCCTGCCTGCCACGGACTGCGCGTTGAGACCTTAGCAAGCTGCGCACATTGGAGGTGGCTAGGACTGAAAGCAAGTGAAGTGAAGAGGTATGCGCTCGGTTCTTTTTCACGATGGTGCATTGTGGCCCAAAAGTATGAGGTAGTTGCTAGAGGTATGTTGCAAAACCGAGCTATCGGCACATTGTATCTGGGTTGCAAAAGCACATGAGAAGTATGATCGGGCATTCTAAAAGCCTAAAATGTTGAGAGCGCAAGTTGACAACGTGTGCAACGTCTGTAGCCCAACAGCGTGCAGGGAGATGCGCACTGCACCCCCGAAGTTTGCGCTGTGCCTCCAGTTGTGGAATTTACAGCCCAAGCGCTCGTCATGCCTCAGAGCCACGAGGGAGGGTATCTAAGGCCGTAGTAGTAGCAGGAGCAGCAGCAGTAGCAGGAGTAGTAGTAGTAGTCGTCGTCGTCGTTGTCGTCGTCGTTGTCGTAGCAGCAGTAGTAGCAGTTTTCTTGGTATTTGTTTCTTGGTATCATAGCAAAATTGTGCTCCTTCATGCCATTGCCAAGACATTGGGCAGTGAGGGCATGTTATGGCGTGTTGCTGCGGCATCGTACAAGTGACAGTGGGAATGTTGGCAAACCTGCTCCCTGAAGGCCATCGCCGCTATTAGCTTTGATCCAAGACCGGCTTTGACGTGAAGCCTTGCACAATCTCGCCTTCCTTCCAGACTGACTGAGTGCCTGGCTTGCCAGATTCACCGGGCCATCAAAGGAGAATCGCCCTCCAAGTCAATGAAAGACTAACTTGGAAGCATACAGGTTCATGACGTAGATGAGTTGGTTCATATCAATTCCTTCCAGTGGCCTGAGTTTATGCAAAGCTTGCCGATGGCCGCCGAACAGTTTTGTGCATGTTTGGGCCAAGCCTGCACCGAAATGCACATGTTGGTACGCACACAAATTTTGAAGCCGCTGCAGACCAGGCACAAAAAAAACACTCTAAAGGAGAGGACTGGGTTTTGCTGTTCTGCGTACAAAAGATTTGGATCCAGAAATTGAACTTGGAAGGCACTTCAGTGGTTTTTTCTCACTTTCACTGCTGGCCACCTTTTGCGGCCAATTCTGTTCTTCCCGCTCTCTTGCATTGCAAGCTCACTGTTGTTTGCATTCTTCCACTTCCGATTGAGGGGCGGCTGGAAGATGTCTTTCATTTAGAAATCTGTCGAGCCGGCCAACTGGCTTGCCAAATTCATCCTGTAAGGCAACCAGGCGGTTGCAAATCAAGGTGAGGTATCGGCTGATGCGATCAGGATCTAGTTTGAACACATCGTAAAATCGATTGCATTGATCTGGCTTCTCATTGCCAGTGACGGCAGACCAGGTGATATCTTTGCCTGATTGCCACGATTTAGGCCCCCAGCCATACAAATCTGGGCGGGAAGACACATCAAAAATATCGCCGTAGCAGGACAGTAGCATGCGATCATTGCTACAAGAGTACTTTGCCAATTCCTGTAGCGAAATTGTGCCAACGGGCCTCTGGTGATCTTTGGGCAGCCTAGCTGCTTTCGGTTTTTCTTCGTCTCGAAACCTTCCCGAAGTGTCTCGGACCATCTTCCGGCTGATTTTCATGAATTTCTCCTTCAGCTCTTTCCTCTGTTCATCACTGGGGTTCTGTGGCTCTGGTTCTTCAGGATACGGAACCTCTTCTTCAACTTTCGTGTCCACCTCTTCATCAGAATCCTCGATATGGTCAAACCTAGAATAATCCGATCCATAGCGCTTGGGATCATGCTTCTTAGGCACTAAGGTCACTTTTGGAGCAGCCACCTCCGGCGCAGCACGTCTTTGGCAAATTTGACCCATGGCCACCCGGGACGCCCAAACAGGCCCAAACAGCTCAAACGGTTTCAAAGCTCAGTTTTGTTCATGCTAAGAATCGGATGTGATATGCGAGCATGCAGCTTCCTGGAGCCACAGCAAACAACGTACAACACAAACCCATCCTAAAAAATGTCTAAGAACGATGGCCTCCAACCTAACGATAGCCTCCAGTGACATCCTGTCCAGTCCTAGACTCACGAGACCTCTCTCATTCTCAACGGAAGAACTTGAGCATGCAGCATATGGTCAATGGTTACCATCAACGTCGTCCGGTTGAGATTTTTGGCACCTCTGCTTTGGAACGTGCCGCGTCGGATCTCAAAGGGGCTTCTGTTACACCCTTACTCGAAGGCTCTGTGGCTCGAAACTCAGCAGTGCCACATCGGGCCTAACTGTGCCGTCCGCACTCATAAAGTTGGAAGCTCACAGCTCTCACTTTCAAGAAGTGGACCTGGACAACGCAAGGCACAAATCAATCAATGAAAAATAACTTTGAACCTTGACAAGTCTTCGTGAACAAGAACAAACCGTCGACTTGAGACATTCCCTTGTCCTTCAGTTTTTCAGTGTCTACCGTTCCCAGTTGGATTCTTTTCTGTCTCCACTTCTCCGCTTTCCTCTTTTCTCGGTGTCACCACTTCCAGCAGATCGCCTTCTGCTACTTCGGCTACTTCGGCTTGTACTTCGGCTTGGGCACGACGTCTGCGACGAAGCTCCTTCAACTGGGCTCGCTTCGCCTGGCACTCACTTTCTCGTGTGCAAATGAAATAGTGTGGCCAAATCCATATGGCAGTTGGCTTTTTATGCATTGCATAAGTGTCGAAACATGCGAAAACAAATCTTGCCAACTTTGACCTAATTACTGCTGGGTCGCAATTGTTTGAAAGTGTAAAGGGATTCCTTGTCCGGAGGACTTTTGTTGGGTTGTTCACTTCTGCCCTGCAGTTCCCACAGTAGCATTGACATACGGTGTGGCCACTCCTCCACAAGCTCTTGGAGAGATGCGAGGCGTTCCTTCGCCTTGCTATTCAGCAGGAACATCGGAAATGCAGCTCAAAACGCTCAAACGGGGGACATAGGATTCCTTTCCCCTCTCTCTTCTATTCTTTCTGTGGTGTTTTCTTCTGTAAGCCTTGTATAGAACCGTCCATTTTCCGTTCCATCTGTGGCACAAAAAGTCTCCAGAATCATTAGGTGCTAAACACATTTTGAATGCATGCTGCATGCACCATAAAATTGTTGGATGTGAAACGTGATCCATGAAATTCTATCCACGCGCACTCTCATGAGTCCACTGGTTCCGAGAGCGACCACCGCTGCTAATAGGCTCGAGGTGGGTAGGACAAGGGAGTCTTGTGTGCGAAAAGGTTGGCACGAGCTGCCGGGAGCGCGGCAGCTCAATAGATCAGGGCACTAGTAGCGTCCTTGCTCCTAGTAGCGATGCCAGGAGCCCCTAGTAGCGTCCTTGTTCCTAGTAGTAAGGCCAGGAGCATCCATTTGTTTTGGTGACAGGGTCACTTCATCCTCCTTTTGACTAATAGAAATTCCGCTCATCCTTTGCATCTGTGCTACAATTTGTTTGTATGATCATATCTCTAGCGTTACACTTGGTAGTGCTTTTAAGTTAGATATCCTGTGAAGAGGAGTGGTGTTTTCATGTGAGAGCTAAATGTCGAGCCATTGACAGAGTGACCTGCAAAAGCCACCCAGACACAAAACACTATATATGATATTATTGTATATATTATTGTATATAATAATGTAATAATATATGTGTTTTCCGTGTGCTCCCTCTCCCTGCCACTCCGCCCAACTTAGGCTGTGGCGGCCAAGTCCTGGAATAGACTCCATTGGGAAGATGGTGGACCACAGGAACGTGTCAAAAACATGTGAACGTGTTCAAGCTATTAGGATGGAGGCCATCGCTATTAGGTTGGAGGCCATCGCAGTTAGAAGTGTTCAAACTTCTGAACTGAACTCGTTAAATCGGCACAAGCTCCAGTTCTCTCCAGCGTCCATCCTCCTGAATGCTGCGATCCAGCGCCCGAACCTCCTGATTGGAAGATCTGTGAGGTTTTGCTTTTAGGCTGTACAAAAGACATGTCGGGCCTTCACGTGTGCGAAGTGCTGACGAAAGTCCGCCGCCTGGAGAAAAGAAACATGAAGCCAAAGCATTGTCAGTCTGGTCTGCCATGTCGGAAATGCTTTGTTTTCGCACTCAGAAATCCGTGAAGCTCTTTCAGCCAGCCTGGTTCTCCAGCCGGTCAGCAAAGGATTGGAACTGCTCCAAACGCTGCTCAGCCTGCCAAACTAACAATGGGAGAGGAACAGTGAAGTCGATCAAAGGGTAGGCTGCTGAGTTGCAAGGTAAGAAGAGAGAAGTCGCGTACGGCAAACTTAACCTTTGCACCGATGTCTTCGGACAGTGGCACAACACGCATGGCTGTTGCCATGCAAGACCCACTTGCTCCTGGCCTGATTTGAGCGCTTCTCTTTCTCTGCGGCTGACCTTTGAGAGATCAAGAAACTTGAGTTTGAGGATGCTCTAGGTGAGAGAGAAGGGACAAATGACAAAAAAGCAAAAGGCAGGAACGGTCCCATGAAAAAGAATTTTCTCGAAAAGTCTCTTTGAATGCATCGTGCAGAAATAGCTGAGGCGGTGGCAGTGCCTGGATGTGGTCGTCATAGCGGAGCCGCTCCTCCATGCGTCTAACGCCCCAAAATGGCTCAGAAAATCACCAACCTGTCGGTTTGCTTGGATCGGGCAGGTTCAGAATCTGGATTGTGTTGACGTCTGCTATTCTTTGCTTGGGTGATTGGGTGAGGGTGGCAGGCCAAATGGTAGCAATGGTCTTGTGGCAGTCTTGTGGGCTCAACAAACTTTGCTCCTAGGTAGCGTCCTTGCTCCTAGTAACTTCCCTTCAAAGAACCTGGGAGAATGGCTCTCTCGAATTTCTCTCCTCTTGCAGGCGGTCTTTCAACATACCACCACCATGTCGAACCAAGGACGTCTGAAGTTCCTGGCACCACGCTCAAGACAGAGAAACGATTTCTGAAGGAAAATTGTTGGGAGCAAACATCCCTTTCCTGAGGCGATCTGGTAGCGTCCTTGCTCCTAGTAGCGATGCCCTTGTTTCTAGTAGCGTTCTTGCTCCTAGTAGTAAGGCCAGGAGCCCCTAGTAGCGTTCTTGCTCCTAGTAGTAAGGCCAGGAGCCTCTAGTAGCGTCCTTGCTCCTAGTAGCGATGCCCTTTATTCCGAGTGTTTTATCCGTTCCTGTGCCATCGGCCTCCTGCAGTCGATCTTGCGCCATCAACCGCTGCTGCAAACCCTGGAACTCATTGGCCAGGCGAAGGAACCCCGCGCGGGCCACCTGAGAAACGAGTGGCTGCGGGCCAATCAAACGACAACTCCCTTGAAGCCATCGGATGCATTTTTTAGATAATTGAGGGATGTCAAAGCTAAATGAGCGCCAACCGGAACTTTGATGGTGCGGCCTCAACTTCTCTACAGGTGGCAGAATTGCGGCTCCTTCCTACAGTAGTAGAAGCTAGCCAAGTTGCGAGTTGCTGCAAACGCTGAACAAGTGTGAAAGACAAATGCAAACTGTTCAAATTAATTACTATGTTTAAAAATATTATATATATACTGTGTATATAAGAAATGTGTTAACACTTTTTTGTTAACACCCCAGCTTCGGCCGTGCACCTTGAGGCCCGCAAAGGCCGCTTCACTGCCCACAGGAATCGAGTCCAAGAGCTTCAACAAGTCCTGCACCTCGAGGCGCCCGTCCCCACACCGAAAACACAAAACACTTGAGTCAACATGGAAACTTATATGGGACAAACAGCGAATGAAAAAGAAATGAAAGAATCGCAATAAAGGTTTCAAAGCCCCAAAAACCAAAGGAACAACAACCGGCCTTGGGCGATAGATCCACTTGCGGAGCTTTCGGAGTTCTCTTGCGTGTTTCCCTCATGGACGGAAATTGAGGGAAACGACGTTTCGCGATGGAAAGGTGTCGCGTCAAGCTGAGGCAAAGAAAAACAACGCAAAGAACTACCTTCATGCAAAACGCAGAGAACCCCTATTAGGTTGGAGGCCATCGCTCAAACTTCAACGTTTGCACTGTGCTCGAAGTCTCGCCTTGGAGTCCATGGGACCGTCGGAGTCTGTGCTCCGCGTGTGCTCCGTTGGGGCGGTGTCGGGGTGGAGCGCGCCGAGCGCGGCGGATGGGGCGAGGCCACCGTGGCCGTGCGCCTTGGAGTGTTTGGCGAGCTCCTGGTGCGCTGTGAAGGTGGTGAATGAAAGGCATTTGAACAGTCTTAGTGTCTTGGTAGTACCGAAAGGTACTGATGGGTACGGATGTCTAGGACTTCTAGCCATGGAAAATATAGCTGGTAACCAGTCCACAGGGGCTGGGCCGGCCTCAACAGGATCTGCTGCAGCTCAATGGACTGCTGCCGCTGCAGCTCCTCCAGCCGTTGAACTCTCAAGGATGGCACCGCCGGAGCCATCGAAGAAACCACCCGGGCAGCACCGCGCACAGGCAGTGCGGCAGCACCGGTTGAGCGATGGCCTCCCAACCTACTCAAGCCCCTAGTAGCGTCCTTACTCCAAGTCAAGCACGGCTTGGAAACTGCTTAGCCCTGCTCTATCTCCTTACCTGATCTCTCTGAATCTTCCTGCAGTGAAGCTCGTCCAGTAAGGGGGGGCACCAGAAATATAGAACCATTTGGAACAGGTGAGGGGATTAGCCCTGTTGACATGCTTGCACTTGGTTCTCAACAGTGTCCAATCCTTGATCTGAGATCAGCAAATGCAGTTTACGAAAGCACTAGACCTTAAGGCCGTAAGGCTTAGGCCCTAGGCAACTCGAACTAGCAGAAATGAAAACGCTCAAGAACATGTGTTCGGTTTTCAGCCGGGGCCTGCACCTGTCAAAGGTTACTAGTAGCTTCTTGTTACTAGTAGTAAGGCCAGGAGCTACTAGTAGCGTCCTTGCTCCTAGTAGCGATGCCCTTTGTTACTAGTAATGGTTTGTGGGGCACATTGAATGTCAGCCTCCCCGGCTTCCATTTCCTTTTTCACCTGCCCCATGCGCGTGAGGCGGCAGCAGCTCGTGCTTGTGCTTGCCGCGCTTCCTGGCTTGACATGTCACGCGTCGACACGGCTCCGTCAAAAGCAAGAAATTTCCGCGTATCCTTCCTTTTGCATCTTCCGTCTGGAAGGTCTTGAATCGCGAGGAGTCATGAGGAGTCACACTTTAAACGGACATGCAGCTAGCTATCAGCACTAGGTGTTGCAGGCCATCGCTATTAGCTTGGAGGCCATTGCCATTAGCTTGGAGGCCATCGCTATTAGAACTAGAGTCTACTAGGCTACTAGAGTCTGTCGGTCTGCAGGTCCTCCTCAGCGCTTTCGGCTTGAGACCGGAAGGCCTCTGCCTCGCTCTTTGCAGCCTCCAAGTCCACTTGCAAAGCTTCAACTTCACCTCAAAACGCCCCCGACTCAAATTGGCGCATGACATGCCAAGCCATCGTGTGAGATTCATTCCAGTGAACTACTCCAACTTGAGTAGATTTGGTATTCTTCCATCGCTAGTAGGTTGGAGGCCATCGCTTTGGGAGGGCCAGCCATTCACAACGAAACAAGTCGAGGGCACAAAAACTTTGTGCACAAGGCGCGCTCAGCGGCTTCAAGTTTTTTCATCGTGCCATGCTCACAGAGAAGTTTCTCTTGAAGGCCTTAGGCTGAAAAGACCAGCAGGAAAGCAAACACAAATTGTTGGCTTTGCGCCTGCGAAATGGAAAGTTGGAAGTTGGAACAAGTTGGAACTTTCCTTTTCAACTTTCTGAGCATCCCAGCCGAGCACTGACAACTCAGATCGCTTCTCTTCGGCTTCCAGGGCGCGAAGTCCTGGGCAACTGCCACTACCGCTGACTGTAGATTGCGAAGCAGTCAGTTACCGAGCATGCGAAACATTGCGAAACATCGGCCAAAAACTGTTCTTCACACCTTTAACTAGTATCTTCTTGTTACTAGTAGGTCTAGTAGTAAGGCCAGGAGCTACTAGTAGCGTCCTTGCTAATAGTGATGCCCTTTGTTACTAGTAGCTTCTGTTTGCTTCACTTAACTGTTTGAGTGTCGAAGACCCAAAAAAAAAATTCCCTTGGCTCCAATCCTTCACTCTCATCGTGGAGCTTTTGACGACATCGCTCCATCTCGTCATCCAGCTCAGGCCCTGCCAAGATGGCCCAGAAAGAGAGGGATTTTAAAACTGCGTTTCTAGGAAACCGGACTTTGGGTCTTACAGCACGAATTGGCTGCCACATCCAACCCCGTCGCTAGCGTTGGGAACAACAAAGAAATCCTGCCACTTGCAAATTCAGACTTGTGCAAACAAATAGCTTTTTTTGGTCATGGCCCTGTGATCCACCATCTTTGCTGAAACAACTGTGCCAAGTGTTCAAAAAACCTTCAACAGAACGTACTGGGCATCATAGCCAAGCCACGCTGGCTTTGTTCCAACTCTTCTATTTG